AATTATAGTACTATACTACTATAAAATATAAAAAGATATTTACGTAAGTAAACTATAGTATAAAGAGTAGTAGCTTAGAGAGAATTATAAAAAGCTTTATATATATAAAATACTTTTTTTCTTCTTCTTTTTTTTTATTTTAAAGAACTTCTTATATCTTTAAGAGCTTCTTATATCTTTATAAACTCTAAAAATATAGCTAAGTACTACTCTTTTATAACTTAATACTAACTAATATCTTCTTAAAGATATCTAACTCTAACTTTATTACTACTATAAACGCTACTATTATAGCTACTACTAAGGTAGCTACTTCTAGCGCGCTCTCTATAAATTACTTTATAATTTAGTAAGTAGAATATACTATATTAAATAAGGTAATTAATAACTATTACTATAACTAAAATATAATATTAAGAACTATAGTTTTTCTTAACTATATATAGGTATTATATACTACTAAGTATATACATGTATTACTAAGTATAACTTTTAAGCCTAAGAATAAGCTAATATTAAATAGACTTTATTATAAAAAATAGTTAGTAGTTACTATTTTTATAGTAAGTAGGCTATATATACTATTAAGTCTAGACTTATTAACTACTAAAGAGACTTTTATAGTATAGTATTATAAGTAGCTTAAAGCTCTAAAAGTTAGGCGCTAATAATAAAGAAATAAAACTTTATTAACTTTACTTTAGAGTAGTAGTATAATAAGTAAAAGTAAAAAGTTTTTTATATTTTTTATAAAGTATATAACTATAAAGCTACTTAAAGATAAGTAGTAGAGCCTAGTATAAAAAGTAGTAGTAAGAGCTAGAACTTATTAGTATAAATAGAGAATAGATAGGTAGATAATAGTAAATATAGATAGTAAGTAGTAGTTACGTAATATAGCTACTAATATAGCTAGGTAAGTATAATTACGCATAAAATATAAGTTACTAGTAATTACATAAGTATTGTATAAGTATCTTAGATTATGTAGGTATCTTAGGTTAAGTTAGACTTACTTAGTTTTTTTTTTAATATTACGTAATTATATAAAGCTTATACTAGTACTAGTTAATAGTCTAAATAGCTATTAGTAATATATAATAAATATAAAGTAGTTAGCCTATTATAATTATATATATAGTAATTATTATAGAAGTAGTATAAGTGTAAGTATTATAAGTTATAAATCTAGGCTTATATTAAGAATTTTTAAGTTTACTATTAGGTCTAATATAGTAACGCGTTATTACGCAATTATATAATTATATAATTACTTAATTCTAAAAAAGGTACGCTATAGACTCTATCTCTTAGATCTAGAGAGAATAAGTAAGCTATAAAGCTATAGAGCTAGAGAAATATTTAAATATTCTTAAAAGTTAATATAAAAGCTTTCTAAAAGAAAGCTTTAAGTACCTAAGTAGAGACCTTAGTAAAAAAAGTAAAAGTTAGAGTAAAAGTTAAAGTATAGTATAATATAGCTTTTCTCTTAGCTATAAAAGTAGATAGGTAGAAGTTTAGGTAGGCGTAGGTAAACTTTAGGTCTAGAATAATATTAAATTTTAGTACTATAAAATATAAGAAAGTATTTATATATATAAACTATAGTATAGAGAATAATAGCTTAGAGAGAACTACAAAAAGCTTTATATATAAAGAATACTTCTCTTTTTCTTCTTTTATATTATTTTATAAAACTTCTTATATCTCTAAAAACTATTTATATCTCTAAGAACTTTTTGTATCTTTATTAACTCTAAATACCTAGGTACTACTCTAACTTAATACTAACTAATATTTGTAAAAATACCTAACGTTAACTTTATTACTAATATAAAGGCTGCTATTATAGCTACTACTAAAGTAGCTACTTCTAGCGCGCTCTCTATAAATTGCATAATAATCTAGTATTTAGAATATACTATGTTAAATAGAGTAATAAATTACTATAACTATAACTAGTTTTAGTTATACTTATTAAATATTATATTAAATTTTTCTATAAACTATCTTCTTTATTCTCTATAGAATATATATTATTCTTATCTTTTATTTTTCTTATATTCTCTTTCTTTTTAATAATACTAATATAGTAGCTATATTTAGTATAATAGCTTTTACTTTCTTAGTATTAAGAATCTTTTTAAATAAACCTTTACTAGTGTAAAGAACTAATATTTAATATATACTATTATATAGAGTATCTACTAAGTTATAGATAAATAATATACTAGAGTACTCTTTATACCTAGAATCTTAAAGTATCTATATCTATTACTTATTCTTAAACTTAATAATTATTGTTAATAGATTTATAAGAAACTATATTTAAAATTGTATATACTAGCTAAAGTAAGATATTACTAGTAAAAGGCTTTAATAATTAAATTTATTTTAAATAATATTTTAACTTCTAAGTACCTATCTATTAGTATAAGAATTAATTTTTCTTTATACTATATTAGAGAAGCAAATTTATATTAAAGCTAAAAAGTTTTAAATCTTTTTTTACTATTATTTTACTTATCTACATACTATAAGCTATATCTATAGTAGCTTCTTAATTAGCTAGTAAGTCTATAATAATAATACTTAGAATTTTATAATATATATTATTATATAAGTATTATAAAAAAATTCAATAATAAAGTAATAATAGTTTCTTAATATACTAATAATAGAATATATACTAAGTATAGACTATATCTATAGTAATTATTTATCTAGTATATTCTATTTAGAATAAAAAAGAATAGACTAAAGTAGTTGTAACTATAATTAAAGTTTTAGTATTACTTATTTTTAAGAGAAAAGATATATAATATAGTAGTAGTAGAAATACTAAGTATTCTCTTAGTATTATTAGTAGTAATAAATAAGTTAATATAGATATATAAAACTATATTATAAAGTAATTTTAAAGTTATATCTATATATATTAAGAGAAATTTAACTTTAGACTTAGTTTTTATAATCTTAAAGGTTTTTTTATTCTCTCTAGACCTAAGAGATAGAGCCTATAGTATACTTCTTCTAAAGATAAGTAATTAAGTAATTACGTTATTATATAATAACGTGTTACTATATTAGACTCTATATTTAAATTTAAAAATCTCTAATATAAGCCTAGATTTATAACTTTTAATACTTATACCTATACTACTTTTACTACTTATATTAATATTATACTTACTATACGCGTAATTATAACACGCTAACTACTTTATATTTATAATATAATACTAATAGCTACCTAGATTATAAACTAGTAGTAATAAAGTATATTTTATATAACTACTAATACTAAAAGAAAACCTAGTAAGCTTAATACTAGTATAAAGTCTTTAAACTAATCTTTAATACTTATATAAAGCTTATATAATTACTAGAAACTTATATTCTATATATTGTTATTTCTAAGCTAGCTATATTAGTAGCTATATTATATAACTATTCTTATAGCTTAATACCTTACTTTTTATATATTTAGTATATTTTAAATTAGCTAAAGCACTACTTACTTTTAGCTATTAAATCTACTACCTACTATAAAGTTAATAAATGCCTATTTATTAAGTATTACTAGTACTTTATTTATATTAGCTATAAGTTTAGTATTTAGTATTTAAAGTTAAAAAAGCTACTTTAAAGTAATTATATAAGTAGTAAAAAAAAGGTCTATATAGATAAGAGCTTATATACTTAGAAAATATAAACTTACTACTTTTTTTATTTTATTAATCTACTTTATAATCTTAACACTATTAATATTAAAGTACTTTCTTTAGTATAGTATAAGCTTTATATTTATAGCTAAAGTTTATATAATACTTATTATAAAGTAGCTAGTATAAATTATAATATTAATTAAACTACTTATAAATATAGTAAAGTTATTTAAGTTAATATTTTCTATAATACTAAGTATCTAGATATAATTAAGAATAGAAATATTTTCTATAAGTATAAAAAAAAAGTTAATCTAAACTAAGTATTATTTATTAAAAAAAAAGTAGAGTATATAAAAGAATAAAGATAGAAGTATTAAAAATTTAAAATAGAAATTTATAGTAAAAAAAAGTATTATTTAAGTATATAGGCTTTTATATTAATACTATATAAAGTAGCTATTCTTTAAACTATAGTATTAACCTCTATAAAGACATTTACCTTTATACTAACTATAGTTATTAACTTACTTTTATAGCTAATAAAAAAGCTTCTATCTAATATTATACTACTTTTTAACTTTTAGCTTTTATACTAATAAAAGCTATTTATTATTACTATTAGCTTTTACCTAGCTTTAAAAGCTTATTTAAATATATATTTCTAGAATTTTAATAACTTTGTAGCTTTATAGCTTACTTTTAGTACTTTTAAGTTTACTTCTAAGTATACTAAATAGTTCTTTATTACTATTATCTTTATAAAAATATTATTAATATACTAAAAAGTATAGTAAGTATTACTAAAAAAGTTCTATTAATACTTACTACTATATTATAGTAAATATAAAGTATTTAAAAAATTTACTTATATTAAGATTACTATATAAAGTTACTAAACTATATTTTATTACTCTACTTTATATTAATATTCTACTATAATAAAGGTTTCTTTTTTATTTTAGTTATATAATAATATTATAAGATATAATAATATTATAAGATATAATATAGTAGACTATATCTCTAAGATCTAAAGAGAACTCTTATTAGCTACTACTTAGCTAGTACTCTATATATAGAGTAACAAGAGTAAAAGCTAATTTAGTAAGTTTATTAGCTAGTTTAGCTTTAATGTTAACAAATAGAATAGTAGTTTGGCATGTGCGGTGCGTACAGGCAGCCGCACGCGTGGGCGCCACTCGTGGCGTTCGATCGGTGTCGATCCAGACCAGACGCTAATTGCAGAAGCTAAGTAGCGCGGAACCCCACTCTGCTGGTCTTCACCTATGTTCCTGCATATCGCGATCCCTATATTACAGCAATTCGATCATGTCGAAAAAGGTAAGCTGCAGGTAAAATGCGCTGTCGCTTGAGAAGCACACTAAACCATGCGCAGGGAAGCGACACGCCTTCTTCCATTCGTATCCGGGAGAATCAGCGGCGCTCGCGTAATCAGCGGAAAGAGCTCATCCAGGACTTGCAGCGACGCGTGCAGGAATATGAAGCCAAAGGCATCGCCGCTACCCAAGAGATGCAACGCGCAGCCCGCAAGGTTGCAGAGGAGAACGCACGTCTAAAGAGCTTGCTGGCCAGCCGTGGTGTGTCGCGCGAGGAGGTGGACGCGTATCTACGATCCTTTGATGCGCCAAGCGCACCAAGTCCCTCAGCTGCCGCGCTGTATGCTCAACCAGCGATGCGACCTCAGGTCTCACTTACTCCCGCGCAAAGTCCTGTCGGATACGCGACGTATCCTGTCTCTCAGCCTGTTGTACGGTCTCCGGCGCAAGTTCCTGAGCCAGCCCCTGCACAGACCCCAATCCAGCAGCGGCCGCACCCACCAACTCAACATTATGCACAGTCTTTCCCAGACACCCACCGCGTTCGTCAGTCAGTGGTAGGAGCCATTCAAGACGCAGCTAGCGTGCCTGAGAGAGCAAACATCACGACTAATTTGCCGTCTACTGCTGCGCATGAGCCTGTTGCAATGGTAGACCAGGAGAAGTCATCTTGCTGTAAACCACCCGAGACACAAAGAGCCTTCGATTCTCGGATAACAGAAAGCTCAATGACCGATCAAAGCGAAGCCTCATCCCGCAGCGTCGCAGAAGACGACGATTGTCCTAACACGACGAGTTGTTTTTGTCCACCCACATCTGCGCCTCAAGGGAAGTCGCTCGACAATGGTTTGTTGATATCATGCGAGACCGCTGCCACCATCATATCAGAGATGCGTGGCGACGGTGATAGACATCGGATACGGGCCAGTCTAGGCTGTCAGGGAGACCAAGAATGTAGTGTCAAGAATACGCTTGTTCTGGAGCTCATGGATGAGAGATAGCTTGAACCGATACAAAACATCGTAGTCTTGGTCTTCCTCTTGTCCAACGTCTGCTCATGCGCAAGCAACTTCCTTTTGAGGCTGACAAATGACGTCACGCCGCGTGGCAGCCCGTCTGAACCCCGTTAACCCATAATCTTTCAACATTCGCAGTCTCGACAACCTTCACTTATCGAAGTTCTGGACAATGGCGCACAAGAATGCCAACGCGAAAGTGCTTCACTCCAATCCCGTCGCGTCATATGATACTGACATCCTTCCAAGTCGACAAACGCCGAGCGGGTGCGCAACAATCAGCGTCGCAGTCGCGCCCGGCGCAAAGCATACGTTGCCGAACTTGAAGCGAAGCTCCGCGAATCTAGAAACGGATGTAGTCAAGACCCCGCGACAGAAGAGCTTGCGAGAGCTACCGAAGAGGTTCAATCGCTCAAAAAACTGTTGTATACGTTAGGGCTTGACGAAGCATTCCTCGAGGCTTTCTCGGGAGCCCAGCATCTCGCAGCACAGTTCTCTAGCAACCTAGAGAGCATCACACACATCGGCAGTACGCCTGAGACATCTTCTCAACATATAAAACCTTTATCGATGAGCGAGGTAGGCTCACACGTCGCAATTGTCATCATGATTTGACGAGGCTAGTTGGACACAAGCTCCATTGTCCCCTCCCAGAATCAAGCACATATGCTTTCTTCGCTTTCCGGCGCGGAGATGGACATACAGGATGCGATAGACGCCTCGCCCCCATGGGCATCGCATGAGACACCTGCTACTATCAGTTCCCTAGCACACACCAACGGAGGTCTAAGTTTGTTGAGCCCACTTCAGGAAAACCTGGCCGATTTTACGCCAGCATCGAACGGACTATCAGCGCAACGATCAGGTTCGACCACGCCTTGTACAACCGCTTTCTCCCTCGTGCTTGCACAGAACCCCAACGGCCACAGCTCAGAATATCTGGACAAGAAGCTAAGGGCGGGCTACCGATTCAGCACGTCTCCGTTGGAAGGTTGTCGCATACAAAATCATGTCTTATTGGAGGTTCTTGCAGAGATTGCATGAGCGTTGATCGAAGAATGCATGCTATCGGTCGAGGGCATTTTGGCGACGTTTCACCCTCCGTAGCTGAAACATGAATCCACTAGCCACTACATATGAAAGGCCTGCAAAGATCTGAGGATAAAGATACTCACGCGAAGATGAAGACCGTCTGAGCTTGAGGGCGATTCCCTCGGAGACTGCTTCAGTCAGTCGAGGCGTCTCTCGGCCTCAAAAACGAGGCGCTTACCTGTTGCTGGAATAATGACTGCCGCCCAGGATAGAGAGAGCAACGACTGCAAGTTCTTGATACCCGCGACTTCGACGCACAGGGGGCCAATGGTCTGTTTGAGGTGACTGGTCAGTGGAGCTGTCTGGAGTTTTTCTTAGTCGTGCGCTTCACTTACCATCCAGAATACACCAACGATTGCGCCGCAGAGGATGGCAAAGAAGACTGTTAGTGCATAGGAAGTAGCAGGCAGCCAGAACGCAAAACATGAAACACCGCACAGCAAGGTCAACGCTCCTGCCGTGTTTATCCTGCTCCATCGATCACTCAGTATACCGATGATTGGACGCCCGACCGCAGTTCCGACGTTCAAGAGGCCGATTATATCTGTAGCTTGGGATCGCGAGAGACCTATCGATAGTGCAAAATCGGAAAGTGAGAAGAGCAAGACGATGTATCCCAGCATGCTGATGAAGACCCATGCAAGCAGCAATACCACTTCGTAGCGCCGCAGAAGCTTGGTATCGAAGCCCAGTTGGGATGGCCGAATGGCCTTGTTCCTGTCGCGTATGAAGACCGTTGCAGTAAGATTGGCCACGAAAGCGATGATGCCCGTAATGCGCAACGCCCAACCAATGCTGTATCTTTGGATAATGGCCTCGGTGCCCCAAGTGAAAGCTGCGCCGCCGACCCCAGACCCTGCTGCACTAATGCCGTTGGCCAGGCTTCGTTTTCGATCAAACCATTGCGACAGGACGGGAAGGCAGGGAATGTATAGAGAGCCAATTCCACAGCCGATCAAGACTCCCTGCGAGAGGTGGAGCTGCCAGATTTGAGTTGCGAATGAGGCAGCGATGAAGCCACCGAGCTGCAAGACCAGGCCGCAGCACATGACAACATGGGTTCCGAATCTGCGACAGAACACTGTCACGAAGGGTGCCACGAGCATGGCAATGGCAAAGTTGAAGCCACCGATGAACGCATAGTCCCAGGTAGAGGCTTCGGGGAAGATGTCATCGGCTAGGTAGTGCGATAGATAGATGCCGTAGGCCTGACAAGTTTGTCAGCATGATACCTAATGGAGGGAAAGTAACTTTCGGGAATGCAACCTTGACATACCGAAACAGTACCCCATGTAAAGCAATTGATAGTAAAGCACGCTGCTACACAGACCCAGCCGTAGCCGCCATCTGGGGGAGTGTGCTCTGCATTGGTCGTGTGCTCATCTTCGATTACCTCATCGAGCGCTAGTGGCGGTGAAACCTCGCTGTGCAGTCGGGGGTTGGCGTCCGATTTCGTCATCTTTGTGGAATGCTATCGACAGGATGGCATTTTCTGCCTCAGCTGACGCCACTATATATGCGCGGAGGAGATATGTCACTTGCATTTGCGGGGTGTCACCACTCACGGATGATCGACAGCACTAGTTCAGAACTGGTCGGTAGCTGTTGATACGTTCAGGAGCTGCGCTCCACTACCACATTGTATACCATACTGTATCTGAAGTATTTGAAGCAATGCTGTTTGCGCATTGACATGAGGTTCGGATTAATTTGACGGCCCGGCGTTGGTTGACAAAGCCGCATGCTGCGTGTCTGGGGCAGGCTTGCTCGCTTCCTTTTCTTGCTTCGCCCGCTTCTCTTCCCTCTCACTGAACCTGTCGCCGAAGAGATCGAAATGTGGGCGCATCACAATGGTGTATTTGACGAACTCCTCCATGCAGTCGACGAGTCGATCTCTGTTCCCGCTGGGCATCAGCCTGCTGCCGGCATCCTCCTCTGTGAACTGCTTATATGCCATGGGTATGGAGCTCTGGTTCGGTATAACGAACATGCGCATCCATCGACCAAGTATTCGCAGGGCGTTTACCGTGTTGAAGGACTGCGATCCGCCGTTCACTTGTGCGATTCCGAGGGTACGGCCCTGGGTCGGACGAACAGAGCCGGTGGAGAGTGGTATCCAGTCGATCTGGTTCTTGAACACGGCCGTCTATGGAAAAGCACAGCCATCAGTATGACATTCACCAAGCATATGGAGTTTTAGGGCGACAACTTACGAGAGTCCCATGCTGCTCAGGACATATCCATATATGCCCATCGCTCCATTTACTCAGTTCGCGTAACTCCTGCACTTTCGGATGTGTGTGTTGTACATCGTCTTTGACAGGTAGGCCAGTGGGGTCGTACATGCGCACGTCGCATCCAAGGCGGAAAAGTATTCGGCTCGCCTCGTACGACAGCAAGCGCGAGTAAGATCTGCACCATGTCAGTATTTTCCCCTGAAAGCACCTATAGGCGCATCTTGCTGAGAGATTTGTACCTTGATCGCATGCTTCCGTGCAAGACCACCACCCTGAGCCTGTCGTCTCCACGCTGGAGCAACTGTGTATCGACCATCTTCAGTGCTGTGCTGAGTTCCAATTGAGCCACCCAATCGTCCTCAGCATCTTTCCCCTCAAGTATAAATGGCCGGTAAGCCTTTCGAACTTCCACATCGTCTTCAGAGGGTGGTATCGCCAATGAGCGACCTTGATACGCGGGATCAATTTCGAGTTCAGCTCGTGCACGTTCGGCCGAGGTATTGTTCAGATCTCCATTCGGTATCGTCGCCATTGTACGTGCGAATGAAAGGGAGGTGCGCAGAGGTCTGGAGGTGATGGTGCTGCGAACACCGATACTGAGGATTGAGCGGTAGATTTTCATGAGCTAGCGCATGTGGATGCGTACGAAGTGTGTTGGGATGTGAATGTGAAGTCGTATCGATCTGCTAGCAAATTAGCATTACTTTCCTGCAAAGATAACTTCGGAATACCGTTTATAGACGCGCAGGGAGCGGCGACACGAGGGTGCCTGGGAAAACACGTCATGGCTAGCAAGCATGTCACTCCACATGTCCGATTCGTCGAGATTTCACAGACCCTGCGTCCCAACCCCGGAGCCTCACTTGGAATGCGACGGCTTCCAAATACTGTCCGAACTCCTTAGCCAGGGCCGGAATATGTATCTTAGCGAGGTATTGGTTCAGTTCGCTCTTCCTGATTCCATCAGAGTCCATATTGTCCAATTGGTCACCAGGAGTCGTATCACGGGAGGTGTTCAGTGCTAGTGGATGCGTATTGAGAAGTACAACATGAAGATCTTGATGATTTTGGACACTATGATCATGGAAATGGAGGAAACGGTGTTGGTGTGCTACACTGGTGGGAGGTGCTGTACCGGGGATAACGGTCGCGCACGTGGAGGGGTAGCCAGAATGCTTGGCGACGTTTTCGCTCCCAGACCCCTGCAAACGTCGTCATGTTGAATGTCGTGACTGAGTGCCTCACCAATACACCACCACTGAGCCGCAAAATGGAGTACGACACATTCTCAGCACGTGAGTATACACGCGCCTATGCAAGCCGGTTCATGACTAATCAGCACCAGCGCAGTACAGCACCAACGACGCGACGTCGTTTGCCCACACTTCGGCGCGCTCGCGATGGCCCATCATCATCACCCAAGGCATTGACGACGTACACCGCTCTCTGCACGACACCAAAGACGAGACGGCCATCACAGAAGGCAAACAGGTTGTTGCAGAACTTGCCAAGCTGAAGTACGAGCTCCAGCACGACCGCGAGCTCACTCTGATCCCCGATGATGGCGAGCGCGATGTCGAAGCATACAACAAGGAACTGGCAGTAAGAGGCAACCCCAAGTGGCACAACGTGTCTTGGCTGTACGCCGAGTGCTAT